TAAAGTATTGTTCAGACATTCCACACCCCATCCAATTTTTGATGCTGTGTTTGAGACCAGTCAACAACCACTCATTTCTCTATGGGATGGCATTGATACTTGTAAATAAATTAAGGAGAAACACACTTTGTAGATAAAGAGAGAAAAATAACCCATCTAATTAGTTGAAGGACTTTTCGGTTTGTTCATAATTTCCATTTTCCTCTCCTGGGTGGTAGTCGAGGGAAAAACCTTAGGCTCAATGCGGTCGTCTCCTGCAGAGTTACATGAGCTCCTACATGCTGGGTAGCCCCTGCAGCAGGGAGGGCTCAGAGGGAAGGCCGGGCATGGGTGGGAGGGTAGCAGTTACTTCCCTCAGAGTCTCTCTGGACTAGGAACAAAGTGTGTATGTGAGGAGGCCGGGTGGCTGATGGAGTTGACCATCCAGACACAGGCAGCTTGATCACCATTAAGGCAATGAAGCTGGGTTTGGCATATTGCCTGCATAATTCATCTCATCATGTGGGCTCTGAGATGAAATTAAGTGATGGAAATCATGCTTGTTTTGTCTCTAAAATGTCCAGACGGCTTTTAGGTTGGCTGCGTTGTGTTCTTCTTGAGCAGTAGCTTTGCAGACTGGGCATTTCTGGGAAGGCCTGACAGAGATGGAGGAGCCGTGGGGCAGAATCTCCAGCCTGGTGCTGCTGGGGGGCTTTGTCCAGAAGGGGGTCCAGGCTTCTGCCTCTGTGTGTGGTCAGGACGATGTAACTCAGCAGCACTTTTGAGAAGACAGCTTTGCATGGGCTGTGGAAACATGCCTAAGAAGAGAAAGAGGGTCCCTGCTGCTTGTCACTTGGAGGCTGTGGCTGAGTCCCCTCTTGTCATGGGTGGGGTCTTCCTGCTATCCCCTGTCCCCAAGGCCACCGAGAGGGCACTGTCCTGCCTCAGCATTGTAGGGCCAGGTCTTGGAGGGGAGCTCTTGGGTGGCCTGTGTTTAGGGGAAACATCTCAGCATGCTGGGGTAAAGGCTCTGGACATCTAGAGCAGGGTTCTCCAGCTGCCTTGTGGGTACATGTGCTCCTGGGGCTCTTGTGAGAGCTTGGAGTCTGCCTCAGTAGGTCTGGGGCAAGCCCAGGATCCTGCATTTCTAACAAGTTGCAGAGGGACGCTGATGGTGCTGGTTCTGGGACTCTTAGGTTGAGTAGGTGAGGGCCTAGGGCAGAGGCTCTTAAAGTGTGGTCAACCCGTCAGCAGCATCAACATCCCTAGGAACTTTTTGGAGATGCACATTCTTGGACTTGACCCCAAATGTACTGTAACAGGAACTCCAGAGGTGAACCGAGCAATCTGTGCTTTAATAAGCCTTCCAGGTGATTCTGATGTTTGCTCAAATTTGAGAGCCACTGGTCTAGTATTCAGGTCCACTTTATTATTCTGAGGTCACCAATGTGTGTTTTCTCAGAAATAACAGAGGGAAAACTTTCAGAACATTAATGTGTCTGTGTGACAGCCGAGTGTGAATAGGAAGTTCCTTTGGCAGATCACATTTAACAGCTGCTGATGTTAGCTGCCCACAGCCGGCTTTTTCCATTAGGCTAATAGTGGTGAAGAAAGGATGCAAAAATAAAATTTTAATTCACGAAAGAAGTCCATGTTCACTTTTTAAAACTCACACAATACTGAACAGTATAATTGAAAAAGTGAAGTTCCCCCCTTTGAATCCCTCCAATTTCCTATGGGAAGTAACCACTACTCACAATTTGACATGTAACATACCAATTTTTTTTTTCACAAGTAAAGATTTGTACACCAATACAGAGAGCCCATTTTAAAACACATGAATTGTAGCCCCCTGCATATTGTTCTCCATTTGTTCATTGCATCCACCTTCCATTGGTGTGTGGAAATTTCTGTAAACCTCAAGGACATAGAGGAACCAAGTCTGTGATCGCCGCCCCATGTTGGTGTGGAGGTACCCTGCCAGGGTACTGCCCAGCGCTGAACTCCCAAGTGGGGAGCAGGGCAGGAAGCAGGGCTGCACTCCATGTAATATGCCTTCTCTCTTTGAATGTTAACCCACAGAGGGGTGCTTAGAATGCATGTGCATCACCATCTCCTTCCTCTTCTGACCTTCCCACACCCCACTTGTCTTTTCTTATTCCTGTTTAATAGGAACCAGTCTGGGCCTTATTTTGAGTGTGTTCTACACTATGAAAGAAACCTGCTGATCTCAGTTGGCTGGCTAGGCTCCTCAGAAAGGGTCAGTATCAGTTCCATCTGGCAGCAATCCCTCTGCTTAGTTTTAACATAAACAGGTTGAATACATTTTGATGGACAAGCTACAGGAGGCGGCTCTGGGATGAGCTTCCACAAGTCTTAGAACAGCACTGCAGGGTTATCTCAGCAAGGGTGTGCTGCCTTTCCTGGGAAGTCAGGAAACCTCTGTCTCAAGTGCAGGGCTGCCCGGCCTCAGCCAGCATGTAAGCCAGCAAACTGTGCGTCCTGTGTCCTGCCAGAGGAAAAGCCACCTCACCAAGGATTTGCAAATCTCTTGTGGTATGTTTGCTTGGTGAAAGCCAGGTGACGGGGGTAGCCTGAGAGTTCAGGGAATCAGGGAAAAGTAGTCTTGTTTTCCAGCCTCTACTGTGTGCAGCAAGGCTAAGAGGGATTGGTGGGGGTGGTGGAATGGAAATGCATGAGACAATCTGCATTTAGTATTCCTCCAATACTGTTCTTGTCATAGTTCCACAGCCACCATGTCCTTAATCTTCATGGATTTAAACTCTTCTAGAACTCTTTTACTTGCAGTCTGTTACTTCTTGAGTTCAGAAATTTACCAGACATCATGTAAGGTGATGAGTTCTTTCATTTCTTCTCCACCAAATGCTCAGTACTGATATCTCCAGGCCAGAGTAGGTGCTAAAGGGACCTTGAAATGAAAAGGGAGAGACACCTGATCCTAGGAAAGGTACAGTCTAGTGGGGAGTCATAGAAATAATAACAGTCACTACTGAGCAACTGCTATGTACAACTAATGGCTGCTGAACACACATTGTTTCATTTATACCTCATAACAATCCTACTAGGTAAGGGTGAGTTATCCTTTCTGACAAATGAACAATCTGAATGCAAAGGGGTTGGGTAGTTTGCTCATGTTACAGTTAGCACGTGGCAGGACTGGAATTTGGACCCAGAACTGGTTGTAATAAAAGCTGACATTCTTTGCGCTTTATCTCACTGTCTCCTGTGATTGCATAAGATTTGTAACACAAGGACACAGTCAGCTTAATTTCATTTTTACAGATTTAAACCAGGGGTTAGCAAATTATGGTCTGTGGGTCAAATCCAGTCCAACACCTGGTTTTTGTAGATACAGTCTTACCGCAGCATTGCCATCCTGTCTGTTGACATGTTGTCTAAGGCTGCTTCGGTGCTTCAATGGCAGAGTTGAGTAGTTGAGACAGACACCAAATAGCCTGAGAAGCATGAAATATTTACTATCTGGCCTTTTGCAGTTTTTGCTGATTTAAACAGTTTCAAGCAGAATCCTTTTTATCCTTAATCTTTCGAATAAGGTAACAAATAAACTAATCATTTGAAGATTTATCGTTTCTGACTATGCCTGTCTGTGAGCTCTCCCAAGCATCCAGAGTTTTGTGCAGGGAAGTCCATTAGTGGAGTGTACATGGCCTTGGGTAGATGTGTGCTTGAGTACTGGTTCTACCACTAATTATCTCCATGGCTTTTGAGAAATTGCTTAATCTGCTTAAATCTATTTGTTCTCATTTATTCACTCACTAATTAAAAAATATTTATTAAGTACCTCCTATATGACAGACAGTATTCTGTGTGTTGAGGACATAGCCGTGAGCAGAACAGCAAAATCCCTGTCTTGGTGGAGCTGGCATTCCACCAGGTGGAGGCAGATTCTAAGAAAAGAAGTATTTATAGCGTGAAGGTGACAAGTGTCATGAAGAAAAATGCAGCAAAAAAGGGAACAGGATATTTCACGGTAGGGAAAGAGGGCAGAGAAAGGCTGCAATTTAAAAGGCTACCCTCAATGAGCAGGTGATGCTTGAGTAAAGATTAAAGTAGTGAAAAATCTATAAGAAAGAACATTCTAGGTTGAGGTGAGAGAAAGCACAAGACCCCAAGGCAGAAGCATGTCCAACATATTGAAGGAACAGCAAGTTGGCCAGAGGGACTGGATCGGGATAAATGAAGTGGCAGAGTAGGTGAGGGGGTCCATGAGGTTCTGGGATCCCTTATCTCTGAGGTTTTGATTTTAAAGGTGAAGACTGTGACTTTTACTTTTAATGTGATGGAAAGCCAGTGGGATTTTTTTTGAGGAACAATTACCATTACTTGACTTACATTCTAAATGGTCCATCTAGATTCTGTGTTAGGAAGAGACTGCAGGTGGGAGAGTGACCAAGGTGGCAGTGGGGTGCCCGGCAGGAGGTGACAGCAGTGACCTGGAGGGGGGACGGTGGTGGCTCTGCCAGACGGTCGTGGTGAGCTGGTGAGGTGTGCTTGGCTTCTGGAAGTATTTTGAAGGTGGGTCCAACAAGATTTCTCAACAGACTGGGTATGGGGTATGAGAAAAATTAAAGGATTTGGTCCACATACCTGGCAGGATGGGGTTCTCCTTACCTGAGATGGGCAGACAGCGGTTGAAGCAGGTTGGGGGGGAAGAACAGGAGTTTGATGTTGAATGTGCTGAGTCTGAGAGGGCAGGTACACAAGTGGGGATATTAAACAGGCACCTGGGTGTATGAATGGAATAGCTGAAGTCAGTGTTACGGAGGGGATGCTCTTCTTGGTAATGACAGGCCCAGGGCATGACCCCAGGAGTGAGTGGCTGAGGAAAGGTGGAGGACAGGAGTGCAAAACCCAAAAAGCAGAATATTGGCAAGATCTTCCATGTGGATATTTAACCACCAGGAATTTTGATAAGACTACTGTTGGAGAAAGGGGCAGTGAGCCAGAACAAAAATCCTGGGGAACTGAGGGGAATGAAACTGGGCGGGGTGTCAGCAGGCATCTGCCACAGGAGGGGCAGTGGGTGGGAGCAGTGCAAAGACTGGAGATACACCCTCGGGGGTGTAGGGTTTGGGGAGAAGAAAGGTCTGGAGTGGCAGTGAGGAGCAGAGGGTGGCTACCCCATCTCCAGCCTAGTGGCCTAAGGGTGTGAGGAAGAAAATGGCCATCACTCAGAAGGGCTACAGGACAAGTGGTGTCCTCAGGTTTTCGTCAGAGCACGGGGGAAGGAAATGATCATGGAAGAGGCCGAGGATAGCAGAGATTTTGCCTAGGGCTGGGTTTGTCATCTGGCAGGGGCAATAGGGGATTCCAGAAACGGAGTTGGCAGACATGGGTCAGTAAAGAGGATGATGTGCAGATGCCTCAGAGCCCAGAGCTTCCTGCAGTGGCTCATGTAGCAGGGGTAGGGGACCAACCAGAAGGTCACCAGAGCATGAGCAGCTGGCGGAGGGAGGGTAGGGTGTCTTGCCAGAGCATGCCAAGTTCTGGGGTTCCCTTTTGGCTCCAGCTAACGGAAGTGCCAAGGCTGAGGGAATAAGGCTGCCTTCGGTGTTTGGAGCTCCCTCCTAACTCCTGCTGTTAGGGGCATGGAGGGAGGCCACAGCAAGGCACAGCAAGAATGCAGGCTCGCTTGGGGAAAAGCAGCTTGCTGGAAGGTCGTCCTAGGCTCCGAGGCCTCCCTGGACAGTAGCAGTGGGAGTTCACGTCTCTTATGTTCAGTTTCTGCTGCTAAGACTTGGTAACCAACATTCAGATTCTCTTGCTCTCAGCTCAGATTTGGGATTTGGACTTGCTCAATCGACAGAATCAGGTGATACCAATGTGTCTTCTGGGAGCCACCTCTCTGGATTGTGGGGAGAAGATGGGGAGTTTAGAGGTGAGAAAAAAGAACATGAATGTATAGAACTTGCTGAAATGTCTAATTCACCAATCTTAAGATACTCATCTATAAAATGGGCAATAATAATAATTTCCTTATTCAGTTGAGCTGAAGATTAAATGAGATCGTATATAGACAGCAGTTAGCACAGTGGCTAACTGGGATCCAGCTGGCACCCCGTACATAATAGCCATTATTTTTATAATCATGACATTTAGTAATTTATTATTGTACTGAGAGAAAAATTTGAATTCTTCCTGCATGTGAATCATTCAGCTTGTGAAGAAGCTGGGGAGAAAGCATGTGTATGCTGGACAAGAGCGGGGCACTGGGGTCTGCCTAAGTCCCCACAAGCGCTCCCAGCTATGGGCATTGATATTTCAGTGGGGTGTGTTGTTCTTTACTTGGGTCTTAAGGGCATTGCATTTCTATTTGTATTTTATTGCTTTGTATTGAGGACTCCTATGCTATAGAGGATTGCTTGAATATGGGGACCCCTGATGGTCTGGGGACTCATTCTCAGCTAATGCTGAGGGTCTTGGCTCGACTCCTTTTGGTGCCGCCTGCTGCGGCAGCCCCTTCATCTCCCTGACCTTCACAGCTGACCTCCACTAGCTTGCTTTTGTTTGGTCTCTCACTCAGTTTCTATTAGGACAGATCTTGAATGTGAGCAGCCATGCATTCACCCCTTGGAAAAGAATTCAGTCGATTCTTTTATTTAGTTATTTAGAATTTATTGGCTTATGTATCTATCTGAGCACTTGAGGATGAACATGGACATGATGCAGAGTATGCCCTCTATTGTGTGCTGTAAAGATCATAAATGTATTGATGGAAGCTGGGTGATAAGAAAAATGTTGTGTGTGCTGGAATAATTTTGGTTCCTACAGAGAAATCCTGAGGATGCCTGAGTGTACTGAGTCTGTAATGGATTATTGAAGAGGAGACCATTATAATTCAGATCACAATGATTTGCAGCTACTGCAAGGTCACTGAGACCCTTTCTGTGATCTCCTTTGAAGTGTCCCAGGTAGCAGAGAATGCTAAACTGTGAATATCAAATGCTGATTTTTCTGATTTCTTGCTTTATTGCTGTGGATCTTGCTGTAAAACATGGGCACAATTTTGGGGAATAAGCAGCTATGGAATTGAGGAGCAAAAGCTCCACAGCATTTTTGACATGAGTCATAAATAACACACAGTTGTAACTTGGGAAACATATGGCTATAGAAATTCTTTGGGCATGTTCCTGATGATATTATTTGATCAGTTTCTTCCAATTTATCCTATCAGATGTCTGAGAAAAGTAGATAAGTGACTAAAGACAGGTGTTTTAAAATAGATGATTTAAGAAATATTGGAGTTTTTATGCCTACTGTCCAGTGCAGACCAACTCTCTGAAGCCAAGTGACTTTTCCTCATTATTATGGATAACAAATGATGAATCTACCATGAAAGCTTGTAACAAGACAACTCATGTTCAATCACGACTGTTCTTGAAGTGGGCATGGAATATACTGGTTGGTCCTCTTTAGAATATCATAGTGCTTTGTAACTTTACTCTTTTTGGTTGTAAAGGATTTCATGGCAAAATACATACCTTAGTACTCCAAGTGGATATTAAAAAATGAAGTACATTGATTCAACTTTCCTGATTCTTAGAACAAGAAAATTAAAAAAGTTATCTGAAGTCATCAACCTGAGTTGTGAAGAACTATCTTTTTATCATGTTGGACAATGTATTAGGGTAAATATGATATAAACACCAGGTGTCGTATAAGGGAAAAGATTTCGATTGCCACAGACCATAAAATGTAACACCCAGAGTATCTTATTAACTTAACTCTTGGTTGAAAAATAGAGTGAGCCTGCTTTATTCCCCATTCTCTGGCCCTGTGTTGGATCCTGTTTCTCAGCCACACTGGGTCATTGCAATTTAAACAGGCCACACTGGGGTGACTTACTAAGCAGCTTTCTCAAAAGACATCAGAAGAGAATAGACTATGTTTATAAATGTATGTTTGATGCTGGATTCAGCCCAGGAATCAGGATGCCCCTTCACCGGTCCACATAGGCACTTTTCAAAGCTGGTGTCTGCATGCACATGGAGGCTCCAGTAACCCCTGGGATTCAGCAGCCACTTGGCCCCACAGAGAGATCCCAGTCTACCCCCAAGCAGGCAGCATGGGCTCCTGCTGTAAGAACACAGCTGCCATTTGTGAGGCTTGAGATCCCTTCCCCACAGCCAGGGCGTTTCCATCCCCCACAGATAGTTAGTGTCCACCTGGGGGGCTTCAGGACAATGACCTTCATTTCCTCCAGCCGACTCACCTCCACCTTTGCAAGGCCCTCTCCCTGTCTGGAGCACCCATCCCGCCAGCCCTTCTCCTGGCTGATCTCTACTTGTCTTTCAGAACTTAGCTGAGAGTCCAGTCCTGGGGAGCCCCAAGGCCTGCCTCAGAGGCTCTTGTAGTGCCCCTATTTCCTTTGGTGCAGCCCTTCCCTCTCCTCACTGGGACTTTGCTTTGTACTAACTGCCTCCACCACTAAGCTATAGACTATTTTCTTAGTTCTTTAAAAAATTGTTTCTTGTTTTACATTTAAATCTTTAATTCACATTTATTTTATTTTGGTATAAAATGTGAGGTAGGGGTCTAACGGTCTAACTTTATGGCCCTAACATTTACAGAACAATCCTTGCTTTAACCACTTTCTTACCGACTCTGAGAAAATCACTACCTATTCATTCAACGTTGATTGAGCAACCGTTATGTACCAGCCACAGTGGTTGATCCTGGGGGTGAGAAATGATTCTGCTCCTGACTTCAAGAACCTTTTTTTTAAAAAAAATATTATTTTATTATTTTTATTTTGGTATCATTAATCTATAATTACATGAGCAACATTATGGTTACTAGACTCCCCCCATTATCAAGTCCCCACCACATACCCCATTACAGTCACTGTCCATCAGTGTAGTAAGATGCTATAGAATCACTACTTGTCTTCTCTGTGTTGCACAGCCTTCTCAGTGCTCCCGCCCTACATTATGTCTGCTAATCATAATGCCAAGAACCTTATATTCTGGTGGAAGAGACCTAAAAAGAAGCAGATAATCCATTAGTCAGGTCATATGAAATTGCCATTTTTGTAGGTCAAGAATGGTCAAACATTAGCAGTTTCATAGAGTTTAATCCAATTCAATATAAAGTAAGCACAATGTCTCAGCTTGAGTGTCTCTGAAGATGGAGCCTGAGACAAACACGCGCATGTTGGTAGTTTATTTGGAAATGATTCCAGGGAGCAGGAGTAAGGGAGGGACCAAGGGAGTGCGGAGGGAGGGAGAGACAGCCAGTTCATGAGGATGCTTTCGGACAGGGCCACTGCTCAAGCCATTGGTGCTTGATCCTCTGGGGCCTCTGAGGAGCTTTATGAAATGTGAGTTGGAACTGTCTGCACAGGGGACCGAGCGGGAAACCACCTGTGGGTGGAGGCACAGGGGTCACCTCTCCTGCGCTTCCTCCGGCTGGCCATGGACGTGTCTGGTGGGCCTCTGTGGATGTTCTGGTCTTGGCATGCGGTGTGGGCTGAGGAGAGGGGCCGTCAGATCACACCTGGTGAGGCTGGTTGACATGGGCCTGGGACTAGTCATTGCAGCAGTGGCTGGAGTTTGAGGTGGGGCTGAGGCAACGGGAAGGGAAGTGGACGCCAACAGCAGTAGTGGTGTATCTAAGGAGGAAGGGTTACTTTTGTGAAAGTTGGGCTGGGAGGGAGCAGGGCATAGTGATGAGGGAAATAGAGGAAGGGAGGGTTCAACTGAAACTTCAGGTGGAAGGGGGCTGGGAAGTGAGCATTCTAGGTAGGGGGAGCAGCCTGGGCACAAGCCCAGAGGCACAACGAGCACAGCACACCTGGGGAAGTTGAAGTAGATTTATCAGCTGGATTGTAAATCCTGAGGGGGATGGGGCTGGGGGAGGAGGTAGGGTGTGCCAAGCAAGATAGGCAGGGCTCAGGTCAAGAAACTGATCTGGGAGGTGCTTTAGTTTGTGAGGGCTGCCACAACAAAGCACTGCAAACTGGGTGTCTGCCGCAGCAGAAATGCATTGTTGCACGGCTCTTGGGGCTAGAAGGCCCTGGGCATGGGGTATTGGCCAGAAGCGCCAGGTACCGGTTCTGGGACATTGGCAGGGTTGCTTCCTTCTGTGGGGGGTGAGGGGCCTGTCCCATGCCTCTCCCCTAGCGTCTGGTGCTTGCTGGCAGTCCTTGGCAGTCCTTGGCTTGAAGAAGCATTGCCCCACCTCTGCCTCCATCCTTACGTGGTGTCCTTCTGTATGAGGGCCTGTCTCCAAATTCCTCCTTTTTATAAGGACACCAGTCATATTGGATTAACGCACACGCTGATGAGCTCATTTTAACTTGATTATCTATGTAAAGGCCCCACCTAAAAAAATAAGGTTACATTCGAGGTACTGGGAGTTAAGACTTCAACACCTGAATTTTAGGGGGATGCAATTCAACCTGTAAGAGGAGGTAATTTGTAGAAGGTGTTGGGAGTCTGAGGTTGACTTGAGCAGCCTCTACTGGGTTCTGCTGAGCTGTCATCTCTCCTTCTCCCCACACTTTGCAGTGGGTATTGAAGAGTTTTGTTGCTTCTTACACTTGAACTAGTTTCCCTCCCAAATCTCTCTGGTGCAGCAGTTATTTAGGGGTGTATATTAGAGAGAGAGTTTTAGAAAATGTCTTCAAACATCTGAATTTGCAACATCTTTCCAAGGCCAGATCACGCTTTTGTTCAAATTGTATCCCTTGGATTTGTCATAATCCCTTTATTCGAGTGTGTGTGTGTGTGTGTGTGTGTGTGTGTGTGTGTGTGTGTGTGTGTGTGTTGCTGAAGGTTGGCATTACTGAACAGCTCAGGTTTTACTAGACATTGAGGAGGTACTGATGAGTTTTAGGCAAAAATGGCATGATAAAATTTGTATTTTTAAGATTATTCT